CCAAATTTACCTGATGTATAACTATCAGATATAAAAAATATATAAAAAAGAAAATTATAGGGCTGGGATGTAGCTCGGTGGTACAGCGCTTGCCTAGCATGCGTGAGGCCCTGGGTTTCGATCCCAGCACAAAAAAAAAAGAAAATTATAGTACCCACCTCAAATATATGATAAATGAGATGGGTGCAGTGGTTCAAACCTATAATCATAGCTACTTGGGAGGCTAAAATCAGGAGGATTGCAGTTTGAGGCTAGTACCCAGCAAAAAGTTGGTGAGATCCTATCTCAAAGGACAAGCTGGGCATGGTGGTACACACCTAAAATCCCAGCTATGCTGAGGTGTGAGTACAAGGATCACAGTCTGAGGCTGATGCAAGCTAAAAGTGCAAGACACTATCTGAAAAATAACTAGAGCAATAAAAGGGCTGGGGAGTGACTCAAGTGGTAGCACCTGCCTAGAAAGCACAAGGTCCTGAATTCAAACCCCAGGATCACCAAAAATTTCAAAAAAGATAGACATCAAACAACTGTAACATTTCAGACTCTATTTTAAATAACAAAGTGACAAAAATTTATAGTAAATATATAGTATATGTATATATACATATACATATATACATATACATATACATATACATATACATATACATATACTATATATATAATATTCAAAGATATAAATATAGATATAATACCAATTTTCAAAGGCAAAGGAATAACAAAACAGAAACTTTAGAAGTAAACTGCATAGAATACATTAATATAAATTAAAACTTTTCAAATTAGAAAAATTGCCTAAATTAATTTTAAGTTTTAATTGGTCAAATTAGTGAAAATTAATTCAATCTATTAAATCAAAACTGCAGATTACTGAGGCTAAGTAAAAAGTAGAGAAGCTTGGAAGATACTAGAAGGAAATGCATTGTATCTATCAGAAACTGTGAGACCCCTTCTCGTCTGCAGTCCTTGGTACAAAAAAATGGAAGCAATGTCTGCAAATCATCAGGGGGACTTCTGTCTACATAGTTTTATACCAGCACCATCATGGATAAACTGCATCAAGGATAGAGAAAAGAACAAAGGAATGTTCTGATATGCAAAGCATAAGAGAATTTAATACTCATAACTCTTGTCTAAAGAACTCTCCATGAGATTGGTGGAGTGGCTCAAGTGGTAGAACGCCTGCCTCGCAAGTGTGAGGTCCTGAGTTCAATCTCAGTATTGACAAAAGAACTCTCCATATATATATTACAGCAAGAAAAAAATGAGGAATCCCCAAAAGGAAGATACTGAACAACCACACACAAAAATAAATGGCAGTGAAGCTGTGCACCTTGGCTTATGCTTGTAATTCTAGTTATTTGGGAGCTAGAGATGAAGAAGATCACAATTTAAGGCCAACCAAAGCAAAAAAATTTGCAAGACCCCATTTCAACCAATGGCAGGGCTCAGTGGCACACGTCTGTCATCCCAGCTACGTGGGAAAGCACAAATAGGAGGACACTGGTGCAGGCTGGCCTGGGCATAAAGGGAGACCTTATCTCAAAAATAAGCAATGCAAAGAGGGCCAGCAGAGGGGCTCAAATGGCAGAGCACCTGCCTAGTCCTAAATTCAAACCCCAATATCATAAAAAAAAAAAAGATGACAGTGGGATTGGGGTATGTGACAAAGATTATATTACAAATCAACAGGAAGAGATCAAGACAGAACTCACAAAACAGGTCAATTCTATAAGAACAGGGCACCGGAATGGCCAATAAGCTTAAAAATCACTTTCCTTCATGAGTAAGAAATTAAAACAAGTCAAAATTGTTGTCTAAGGTGGCAAAAATGAGAAGGACTGATTGAAGCACATGCTAAAGAAAAATACAGAAAACAAGAGCTATCCCACACTGCCGATGGACATGTAAACTGACATAAATTAAGTTGCAAACTATTTTATACAGTGGAAGATGTGCACACATACCCCCACATCTAGGATTTCAAACTAAGAAGACAGGTTCCACACATTGCATTTATTGCAGCAGTCTTCTTAAGAATGGATAAGTGAAAATAACCCTCTACTAAAAGAGTAACAGATGAATTGTACAGAAGATTCTAAAGATACAAGTATCAAGATAGACAAATCTCAGAACAATGTCAGGTGATAAAACAAAGCTGCAGACTGATATGTATGACGTAATATCATTCACATGAAATATTTTGGATAAATACAAACATTAAAAATTTTTAGAGCAGTTATTTTGGCACACATTTGTAATCCAAGTTATTTGAGAGTTAAGAGATTGGAGAATCACAGTTCAAGACCAGCCCGGCAAGTGTTAGAAGACCTTATCTCAACCAACAAGACCGGTGTGGTGGCACATGTCTGTGATCCCAGCTACACAGGAGGCATAGGTAGGAGGATCACTGTCTGAAGCCAGCCCTAGACAATGGCATGAGATCCTATCTGAAAAATAACTAAAGCAAAAAGGGCTGGTGGCATGGCTCAAAGTGGTGGAGCACCTGCCTAGCAAGCACCAGGTCCTGAGTTCAAACCCCAGTACCACCAAAAATAAAAATAAAAAAGCAACTTATGCATAAGAAGATAAACACCAAATTCAGAGTTATAATTTACCTCTGGCCATGATGAGGGAGAATGGGACCCAGGTGAGTTGTATAGGAGAGCATCAACTATGTTTTATAATGCTTCATTTCTTTGTAAAACAAAAAAGGCCAAGAACAAGAGAGTAATTCATATGAATAAAGATGATAAATGAGTCACATCTTCTAGCCACCCCATTTCCCTGTTTGGTCCAGCCTGGCTTCTAAAACAAGAGAGGGAGGTACAATGGAGTGTCTGGCAGGGGAAGGAGTAACAAATTAGATTAGAATTTAAGCTTGTCCTCCCTGAAATCCAGGTGGCTCATTACAGCTGTTGTTTATATCACATCACTTAATTTCTAAAACATAAGGTAAGGACCTGGAGATATAGTCAAATATTTTTAGACTATGCTATTAACTTCAACCAAACTCAGTAATTCTTGGATAGATTAGGCCTGGGTAATATGGAGGCCCAGGGTTTGGGATTTATAACTGCCATAGATCATTTACAGAGAAACTGAGAGAAATATTTATAATGAACAAGGAAACAGGCATTTTAGAAATTCTCTTAGTTTAAAGTTTAAATAATTTGCAGCAGTAAAAAAATATGTGTACCAGAAAATAAGTTAGTCTCACGTATATCTTGAATTTCAAAGTTTAGCTGTGGCTTCGATACACAGACTTCGTGTCTCTGGACACGAAAGACCCACTGGATGTCTAATTTCTGTGTTCAGCGGAGGGAACCCTGGCGAGGGTGTGAGACAGGACTTTAGTCTTGGAGGAGCCACCTGTCTGTGGCTGCTCTGTGCCATTAGCTTTCATTTTCATTCTCTTCCATCTAGAGTCAATAGCTGGATGTGGAGGACTGTCTGAATGAGTGATTATGTTGGGTTGAGAGACCATCAAATCATTCAAAGCTCCTTTGGGAGTTTTGAACTTAAACCTCAGAGGCTTCAGAGTCTGTTGGCTGTTTTGTTTACATAGCACAGAAGTGGCTTCTGCTTTGCAATGTGACCTTTAATGTAGGAAGACCAGAGATGGGACAAGGATAAAACAGAACAGAAACTTTTTAAGCAGAAAGCATAGCACATAGTCTATAGACATGATCACAAAATGGGTTGTGAGTGAAGGCCTTCTAACCTTTTCACAGGTGTCTGCTTTTTTTTTTTTGAAATATACAGGAAAAACCCAATCTTTAACATTAGTTTTCTCCTTTTTCCATGTCTTTAATCAAGCAAAAATAGGTTAATGCCTAGAGGAACAAAATTAAATAAACACAAACAGCTACAGATTGAGACAAACTAGATTTTCAATAATTATTTGTTAAATTAACTCATATATTTTGGGGTTTTTTTGTGTGTCATTGAAACTGATATTTCCTCTGAGACAAAGTTGTGCTATGTAGCCAGGGTGGCCTGAAATTTGCTGTCCTCCTGCCTCAGTTTTCTGAGTGCTGGGCTTATAGGTTTATGCCACCATACCTGGTAAAACTGAAATTTTAAAAGTTAAATTTAAACTAAAGATAATGCTTTACTTTAAGCTATGTAAGATTTTCAAGAACATGTTGAGATGTCAAGCTGAATCAAAATAACTTTTCAATGAGGTAGTTGGCTCTAAATCGAATTATTTATAATATTTCCCTAATAAAATTAATGTAAGCAAAATTTAGCCAGTATCTTACTCAGAAGGGCAGGGGGCATTTTGTTACCTTAGAAGAATTTTTTTGAAGGATGGGATATGGAGAAGGTGCAGAAATATATCAATCATGGTGTTTGTTTCTAAATGAGTCTTTAAAATGTTTGGTGATGAATTAACAACTCAAGCAAATTAGAAGTAAAAACTTTAAGCTTCCATAGAAAGAATTGTTTTATAAACACCATGTAAAGTACCATTTTTACAACATTGGCTTGCAATTTTATAATAGCATAGAAAAATAACTGAAGAAATAAATGATCACATAAATACTTCTTGTTGGCCAGAGCCAAAATGTATTTTCTGTTACTTGGTTTGTTATTAATATCAAATTTTCTTGTCATGAGATAAAGATAAATGAACTAGAAATCTAGAGACACAGACTCTGCCTTAAACTCATTAAATTGCCTGTGACAAGCAATTTAAAGTTGCTAACTTTTCATTATGTTTGTCTGTTGAATGGGGATATTAATTTGCTCTTCCTAGATGTCAGGGTTATGGCAAATGAAAAATGAATATAAAAGTTCTTTGAAAAGCAGAAGGAACACATGCAATGTTCTTTCAGTGCTATGAACACTCAGCCCATGAAAACTGGGTTTGGTGCTCAGAGAATGTAAAAATTTGAGTGATGTTCATAAAAGTATAATCCTTGCTTCCAAGTAATGATAATGGTTTTTCTTCCTCTTTTCCCTTCCCTCTTTCTCCATTTGCCTGCCTTCTGCAGAACCTTTACCTGTAACCAGTGTTGCAATATATGACTATAAGCCTTCTCCTGAAACAGGAGTACTATTTGAAATCCATTATCCAGAAAAATACAACGTTTTCACTAGAGTAAACATAAGCTACTGGGAAGGGAAAGACTTCCGGACAATGCTGTACAAAGGTAAGAGGCAAAAGGAAGCCTGAGTGAATGAGGACTTTTTCTTTCTCCATGACTTTTTCCAAATGGTCTTCTCTCTTACTCTAAAGAGTTTTTATAATTGACTACCTGACCTATAAATGAACCATTAAAATAGTTATTGATTCATGAAAATCATGTTAGGAGGCATCTTAGACATCTGGTTCATTATTAAAGAATCACAAGTCATGTACACAATATGAGTAACACTCAAATTATTTTCAATTACATGTTATTCTTGCTAAAGGCAGCATGTGTGGTGCAGGAAGTAAATTCAACCAAGTTTAGAAGCAATGGCACTGTACCCACTTCCTTCTGGGTGTGACAGAAGGGCATTTCTAGGATTGGGTAGTAAGAGGGATGCCTTTCATACAATTTTACTTGAAGAAGATTCAAAATTATTCTGAAATGCAAAAGACAATACTTTTTTGGCTCTTTCATGTATATTTAACTATATGATCAACTTGATGCTGCATTAATATGCAAACACTGGTTCCACTGTTCTTATAGCATTGATGGTAATCCTGTGGAAAGGGGAGAGAGAAGAGTGTACAGAGGAATATGGCTAAAATTATTCAAAAAACCAAATCAAACTGTCTGGGTACTTTTACTTTCTCTCCCTTATTTCTTTTGACTTGGATTGGGTTTTTTAATTTATTATTATTTCTTTAATGTTTTCCAAGTGGAATCCAAGTTTTTGTTTTCTTCTTTCTTCAAATTGGTTTTGTCTGCCAATTGGCACATAAACCAGTCTTCTTTTAACAGAGGCTAGTTTCTAGTGAAAACATTTCTTGTAAAATTGCTATTTTATATTTCATAACATGCCAAATGCATTGGTTTTTCATCTTAAATAAATGGCTAGCATAAATTTAATACCTATAATTTCTGTATACACCAAAAGTTCCTATAATAAAAATTCAGTTCTAATTATGTCAACCTTCTTAGGACTTCTAGCAGAAAAATGGTTTCAGAATTGAGTGTAAAAATTCAAAATATTATCTCTAGCCTTCTAATTCTTATTTACTAACCACACCAAAAGTTGAAGGAAATACTGTTTTATGGATATCAATCATATTGGAACTTTCTACAAGTATGTAACCTTTAGAAGATCCTATTTTAAATGCAATAATTTTTCTCTCTGTGCAGATTTCTTTAAGGGAAAAACAGTATTTAACCACTGGCTGCCAGGAATATGTTATAGTAACATTACCTTTCAGCTGGTGTCTGAGGCAACTTTTAATAAAACTACCCTTGTGGAGTATAGTGGTGTCAGTCATGAACCCAAACAGCATCGAACTGGTAAGCCCTCTGAGGAATCAAATTTAGTGAAAAATATAATTAAATTTTATGTTGCTGTATATTTATTTTTAATATTTCTGAGAAAAATTATTTGTTAATATTTCTAATATTTCTATGATACAGCTAAGAAATAAAATAAATATTTCTAAGAATCTAAAACAAATTTTCTATAAATGTAAAATGAGCTGAACAAAACCTTAAATAAGAAAAAATCTAAACTAAGTCAATGTAGTCTTAGATTTATAGTCTTTGGAGAAAAAGGCATATGATACTATCAAAAGTAATAATTAATTACTTTAATTGGACTTAGTAGATATTGGTTATTATATAACCTAAAATGCCCATAAAACATAAAAACAGAGGGACAATATTCTAGTGCAGATTATTAAAGGAAAATGTTGGGATTCTGATGGATCTAAAATTTGCAATGATTAATTTTAGTATCATCATTAATACGAAGAACTATTAGGATGAATGGATGGATGGACATATGGATGGATGGATGGAAGAATGAATGGGTGAAATAAACAAATATCTACTAAGTACATACCTACTAAATATCCATCACCAATATAAGCAACATTGAATGTGCCTGAGGTGCCTGAGTACTCAACAGGATTGGTGAAGAAGCCATTCTTATGAGTTTTAGGAATAAATTATGGTAGATTACCCAAGGCCTGTGTGAAATTCTAAGATGTCATGATTCTCATTTAATTAGGACAATTCAAAGAAACTGTCAGCTAAATAGTTAATTCACTTCATGTTAACATCAAAGATTCTACTTGTATTTTCATTATTCAATTTAAGTAAAGGCACATTAGTTGAACATATTATCTGTAGAAGTTGTTCTAAGTGCTAAGAAAGAAGAAAAGACAAAGACTGGGAAGACAGGGTCTCTACCCTCAAAAATGGTATGGGAATTATACAAATGACAATTGTACAAAGTAGAATGAGATAAATGTCATAAAATAATAGAAAGTTATTTAATGGTATAAAGAAGGGAAGAGTTTAGTTTTTATTAAATTTTATGAAAGGAAGTATTTGAGCTGCTATTTGAAGGACAGTTGAAATTGTTGCAGGCAGAGATCATGCAATGATATGTCTTTGTAATTTTCTACCTCTAGAAATGTATGCTTCTATAATTCATAGTCATTTTGTGCTAATACATTAAATTTCAGAGAAGTGATGCATGAAGCCATATTTCCAATGTATGTGTCAGCATCTTTCAAGGCAGCTCTTGTATGCCTCTCCTCTGTGTGCTGCTAGGTCACACGGAGTCTACCTTGATAGATATAAGTAAACCACAGTTGAGTTTTTTGTAATAATAATCCAAGAACAGAGACACATTTTTGAGTGAGATTATGATAAAGAATATTTACATAACTTTGCTTCAGCCTTTGTTAAATTAACACAAGCATACTATCACAATTTAATAACTTGAAAGTGTGACTGTGATATGTTCATATGTACACATCCACAAAATATTGGAAATATGTCTACTTAAAACCACAGTTGTTCTCCATGTATATTTGTCTATAGATTAGAAGTAATGTTAAAGGCTGTTTGGTAAATCTAGTCATGTATTTGACTCACTCATAGAGTAAGTACTCAGCATAACAGAATTAAAAGTTACTGAAATTGAAAATTCTGTCTTTTTCAGCCCCCTATCCACCTCGAAATATTTCTGTTCGTTTTGTAAACTTGAACAAAAACAACTGGGAAGAACAGAGTGGCAGCTTCCCAGAAGAAACATTCCTAAAATCACAAGATTCAGCAGGAAAAGACAAACTCTTCCATTTCACAGATGAAACTCCTGAGATTCCCTCCAGCAACATTTCTTCAAGTTGGTCTGATTTTAACAGCAGTGACTATGAAGCCACATCTCAGCCCTCTTGGTGGGACAGTGCAACTGCAGCTCCTGAAAATGAAGATGAATTTGTCAGCGTACTTCCCACAAAATATGAAAATAACACTCCACTCAGTGGGACAGAGAAGTCACCATCAGACTCTTTCTCTTTCTTCCCCGTGCAGATGATATTGAGCTGGTTACCACCAAAGCCACCTACAGCCTTCGATGGGTTCAATATTCATGTAGAAAGAGAAGGTAAAACAGTAGGAAATAAGAAATCAGAAATCACACAAGAAAAGGAAATTCTAATTTTTAATTTGAGTTTAAGAAGGGAGGCTGATGGTAGACAGTTAATATCTAAAGAAAAATAGCAAGAAAAGGAAAAATTGAGTGAGCATCCAAAGTGAACAAAAACAGAAAACCAAAATCCATAAGTTAGATGTATGTGTTAGGTCAAGGTTTGGAAGACTCACAAGCTGAAATTACTGGTAATTATGTAGATCCCACTGCCGAAAATTTCACATATCCCAGACCACTGGGGGAAACCTTATATTTGAAATATTTAGAATTAAGTAGCTAGCCATTATAAAATATTACAGAATATCCTGGAGAAATTTTGTTTTCTTACACACAAATTTGTGAAACATGCAACAAGAGTCTTTCTGACAAAATAACTTCTTTTTTTTTTCATTTTTCTTTTATTATTCATATGTGCATACAAGGCTTGGTTCATTTCTCCCCCCTGCCCCCACCCCCTCCCATACCACCCACTCCGCCCCCTCCCTCTCCCCCCCCAATACCCAGCAGAAACTATTTTGCCCTTATTTCTAACTTTGTTGTAGAGAGAGTATAAGCAATAATAGGAAGGAACAAGGGGTTTTGCTGGTTGAGATAAGGATAGCTATACAGGGCATTGACTCACATTGATTTCCTGTGCATGGCTGTTACCTTCTAGGTTAATTCTTTTTGATCTAACCTTTTCTCTAGTTCCTGGTCCCCTTTTCCTATTGGCCTCAGTTGCTTTTAAGGTATCTGCTTTAGTTTCTCTGCGTTAAGGGCAACAAATGCTAGCTAGTTTTTTAGGTGTCTTACCTATCCTCACCCCTCCCTTGTGTGCTCTCGCTTTTATCATGTGCTCATAGTCCAATCCCCTTGTTGTGTTTGCCCTTGATCTAATGTCCACATATGAGGGAGAACATACAATTTTTGGTCTTTTGGGCCAGGCTAACCTCACTCAGAATGATGTTCTCCAATTCCATCCATTTACCAGAGAATGATAACATTTCATTCTTCTTCATGGCTGCATAAAATTCCATTGTGTATAGATACCACATTTTCTTAATCCATTCGTCAGTGGTGGGGTATCTTGGCTGTTTCCATAACTTGGCTATTGTGAATAGTGCCGCAATAAACATGGATGTGCAGGTGCCTCTGGAGTAACAGTCTTTTGGGTATATCCCCAAGAGTGGTATTGCTGGATCAAATGGTAGATCGATGTCCAGCTTTTTAAGTAGCCTCCAAATTCTGACAAAATAACTTCTTCCCCATGAGTCTGAGACCTGTGTTCTACTCCTGCAGCTATTCTTATTCCTCTTGGGGTGGGCCCCTCTGGAACCAGTATCAAATTTTCCCAAAGAGGAGCTGGTAGCAAGAGGAAAATAGGCAACAACGCATGTGTTTCCACTGCAGTTACTACATTAGATGATGGATTCACTCACACACCAATTGAGATTCAGTTTTTATAATTTAGTCAACTAACTCATGAAAAGAGTGCCATGACGTAGCTCAGTTGTTCTTTGGCAGATCTTTATAACTATTTAATTTTTTTACAATAAAATACTTCATTTTTCATTGTCTAGTCCAGTAGTTTGGATGTCAAAGGCTGTCAAGATGTCAAAGTGAGCTTTATTTTCAACAGGAGGACATGAGGCTTGTGTATGACATATTGTTTATTCTTCTTTTATTTAGTAGAATGAGATACATTGTCCATGGATTATTCTATGCTAAGTGACAGAGCAATCAACCATACCCAAATATATAAAATTGAAATCCTTTGTCATTTACAATTATTTGTGTCAAAAGCTGTTTGTTTGGAATTGTTTATATATGTATCTATTTTTAAAGTCTCAATCTATCTTTTGTCTGTGCCTCAATTTATTCTATGAAACATCATTTCTTGTAACCCAAAATCTGTTTTTACTGCCTATTTCCATGAAAGTTTAATAGTGTGTTTAATAGGATTGCAGTGTGTTCTTTTGAAGACTATTGCAGTTACAATTGGTGGTATCAACTTCAAATGAAATAATAAACAGCAAGAGAGAGATTCTGAGACAATGTAAAATAAAACAATTCTTATTTGGGGGGGCAGTTCTGGGGATTGAATGCAGTACCTCATGCTTACTCAGCAAGTGCTTGGTCACTTGAGCCACACCCCCAGTTCTTTTGCTTTAGTTTGTTTTTCAGGTAGGGTTTCACATTTCTGCCCATGCCAGCTTCAGACTGTGATCTTCCTGCCTCTGTCTCCCAAAAAGTTGGGATTACAGGCATCTATCACCACAACAAACACTAATACTTGCTTTTATGAGTTCTAGAAGCCAATAGATGATCACAAAACATGAGGTTGCCATGTTTCACTAACTAGAAATAATTCAATATATTTTAAAGCATTTCTAATATTGATGCTATGATAAGGAATTTATAAGATATTTAGTGCTAGTTAGTATCTCTTATTTCAAATTAGAAAGCCAATATTAACTTTTCCTACCATTCTATTTCTATTATTGATATGACTTTCTCTGGTACAAATACATAAGGTTTTACAATACACCCACTCCTACTTTTATTGACAGACATCAGATTTTAGTTTTGATATTTTAATGTATTATGAAAAAATTAAACTTGTTCATCTTTCTTATTAGTTAACAGATATAATTGAACTTGAAAAAGGAAAGGAGGTACTAATAATAAATTCCTATTCTACAAAATTGATGGGCTTGAGGGGCTGTCAATTTATACATGTTCTTTTTTGTGTATCATCCAGAGAACGTTACTGAATATTTGATGGTGGATGAAGAAACACATGAATTTGTTGCAGAACTGAAGGAGCCTGGGAAATACAAGTTATCTGTGGCAACCTTTAGTTCCTCAGGATCTTGTGAAACTCGAAAAAGTCAGGCAGCAAAATCACTCAGCTTTTATCTCAGTAAGTAGCAAAGAGATTATTCTGTGCTAACCGGGGAGCTAGAACAATGAAACTGGTGAGATAAGGATGCTCCAATGTCAATTATTCACAAACGGTGGGAACCCTGGGACTTCCTCAAGGTCAGGAGAGGCTGGGATCCATGAGCTTTTGACAGCAGCAGAAAGAGATGTGTGTTTCACAGTAGCAAACTACGCAGGGATTTAACTCGAGGATTTATTTTTTACTCTTGTGATAATTGAACATTTATTAAACTGACCTTCCAGACTGGCCGTAACAAGCTCTCCAAGGACTTGGTCACACAGTTTGGGAAACATGACTTTTGTTTGAGGCCATAATGAAATTTAGTATGATAGGATTATGTGAGAAATCTCATTACAGTATGGAGCTTGTGGAGCTCAAAAGACAAGGATTCAAGTGTGGCTACTCCCGGGTGGGCTCCATGCAGTTGACGGGAAAAGAAGAAACTAGAGCAGTGTGAAAGCCCCAGGATCAAGTCTTAGGGAGGCTTCTACTAACCCCATAGGGGTAACAGGCTTCTCAGGGCAGTACAGGCAGTGCATGTGTCTGTCATGATTTTAGCAACTCTATGTTTACTGGCATTTTAGAGGCTAAACATCAGTTACCCAGCATATCAGCAGTTAAATGTGCCTTTCAATCAGCAAAAAGCAAAACCACAAAGCATGGATAAAAATTACTCTCAAAAAAGGAAACCCACTATCATCACTTCTCTAAGGGCAAAATACCACTTTGCCTCAAGCAGGCCTCAAAAGATGGGCAGGAGGGGAGGACAAGGGAAGAGAGGATACCAGTTTATTTAGCAGCTTAGAAAGATTGGAAATGTCCCCATGTAACATTTTTGCATAAGAAACCAAAAATGTCACCATTCATGAAAGGCCTCAAATATCTGGGGAGCATGCAAAGCAAAGGTGTTTGCAATTACCTATGAACTGCAAGTTTTGGGGGGCGGTTTGAGAACTAAGTTGACTATTCAGTTCTTCTCATGAGTCTAAAAATGATTCACTAACAAAGAGATCCCCAAGTGCAGAGCCCTTCCTCAACCATGCTGGCCACGTGGGCTTTTCTGTGAGGTTTGATCGTGTTTCATAGAGCACAGCACAACACATAGAACAATGGGTGACATTTTTCTAGCTTTATTTTTGTTACATTTACTTCTCATACCAAATTATAAAATTCTACTTGTTTATTGGTTTATATATTCAACAAATGTTATTGAATCATTTTCATCTGTCTGGCACGCTGCTCTATTCTATACAAGAACAAGAGTATCCAGTGATAAGTGTCATTCAGAATATGTCAGAATTGCTCAAATGTATGATGATTTTCAAGACATGAATCTTAATATTCACCTAGAAAAATATATACCACTATACATTCTTTTCTCTGCCAATAAAAGAATGATATTTAAGTGCTTCAAATGTTCCATTCCATGATAAAGAGTTGTCAAGTGTACTGTATATACTTGTTTGGTTTAAAAAACATAGTGCAGATATAAATACTTGTACTTGCCTGAGTAGATAAGCAACAATAGAGTGCAGTCCACTGGGCATAGTGTCGTCTGTCACATACCAGCTAAGTAATATTTGCAGCCCATTTTCATGGTCAAGCTGTTTCAGACATCCTGCCATTGAGCTACTAAACTAAGACTTATTAAATTAAGATCCATATTTATAGTACTGCATTATGATTTATATGTATGTAGTATTGAAGGCCTTCCCAGAAATGAGAATTAAGAGAGATACTTATTAGTTCCCCTACAGCCTTATGAAGGAAACATTTTTATATCCTCATTTTTAAAGTGAAAAACAACTTAGTCACAGGAATTTCAGTGACTTTCTCATGTGTCAGAACCAGGATTTAGAATTTGGGAATATGACTAAAGTCATATTCATGTGTCTTACAATGGCATATATCTTAGGATAAGCTGTGTTATCGGGTACAACTACTTAGGATCTCTGTGACTTTGGGGAGGTCATTCTAGTCTCTGGGCCTCAGTTTCCTCATCAGTAAAATAAGACAGTAGATATCTGAAGTTCTGTTCTGCTCTAACCCACCATGCTTTTGTCAACTCAACAGAATGAATGACTGACTTTCAGAGACATTAAATCATTTGCCCAAAGTTGCAACATGAATAATGAGCAAACCTGAGCCTTGACCAATTTTCCTGTTTCCAAACCAGAACTTTTCAGTATTTCATCATGCTCCAGGAGGCCTCAGGCACTGTTAAAAGCAGGGATTTGGGGATCAGGCTACATATTTTTGAATCCCATCTCTCCTTACCCGATGTCTACCTCTTTGTCTTCACCTAAAAGTGGGGCTTGGTACTTGTCTCAGGTTTGTTGTAAGAATTAAAGGACTAAAATATGTTAATACATACAGACTTAACATATTGCCTAAAACATAGTGGGTGCCATGTCTTTTTGCAACCATTATTACCATTTTTAATTATTATTTCCTTTGCATCATTTATACCCCAAGCAGAGCCTCTTGCTCCTTTTGAAATGTTTAGAAACCTACAGGATCAAAGCTAATGATGGATGCTACTGTGGCTATATCCTATTATAAGGAACCCCCTGGTTCTTCAAATATCACCCAGGTTTTATTCGGCTTCTTTAATTGAGCCAGCCTGTTGCCTGTCTCTTTAACATAGTCACAGCCTGCCTCTTTGTTCCTGCTGCTGGCAAATTTAAATTTTGTCACAGGATTGCAGTAGAGGCTAATTTGAAACTCAAAGCAATTATTTCTAGAAACCAAGCACCCTCACAGAAAAGGAATTACGAACACTGATGAAATCCCATATACCCACACCCAAGCCTTAGTGAAAAATTCGCCTGGATGCTCTCAGACTCACCAATAACTGATGTGGAGCTTCTGTCTGTCAGTAAAATTGTTCTGTGGTTGCTGCTGATGCTGGTGTACTTTGGACCAGAGGGAGGTGGTGGAGTTGAGTTGGGTAGCTGGACAGAGGATATCCTTCGAATTTCTTAGTAAGGAATAACAGGAAAACCCATGATTTTAAAAACTCGAATCTTTTATCTCAAGAAGCTCAGTGTGCAACCTCCTTTGTGTTCTCACTGGAAATGCTCAGGTCCTACAGGAGAGTGGATTGAAGAACTGACTGAGAAGCCCCAGCATGTCAGCGTCCATGTTTTAAGCTCAACCACTGCCTTGATGTCCTGGACATCTTCCCAAGAGAACCACAACAGCACCATTGTGTCTGTGGTGTCCCTGACCTGCCAGAAGCAAAAGGAGAGTCAGAGGCTGGAGAAGCAGTACTGCACCCAGGTAGGAAAAGCCAGGGCAGATAGGTGCCACCCCCTGAAGCCCAGCCTACAGGCAGTGCAAGGAGCCCCCTATACAAAGCCCAGCTGAGGTCTCCTACCTGTGTCTATGGAGCAGAATTAGCAAGAGTCTCAGAGGAGCTGGGAAATGACGGGGAGTGTCTTTTCCGTTACAGCCATCTTCCTGTCCCTTGGAGGGAGCCATGTTCCTTTCGCTTTCATTCCTTATTCAAGAGAATTTGCTGAGTACCTACTGTGTATCAAGTGGTAGCATAGGTGCTGGAGTTCAAGATTTTTTAAATGTCTTGATTGTGCAGAGCTTATAACCTAGTAAGAACAATGGACAAGTCAAATACCAAACAGAAATTACTAGAAGTAAACGCTGATCTTGTGAAACAGGGCGGGTGGGGGTGCAGGAGGAAGAGAACTGGAAAATCAGCCAGAAAAATTTCCCAGAAGAGGAGACAACTGAGCACAGGGTTGGAATGTGTTGGATTTTTCTGTTTGTTTTTTTTTTAACTTTTTCTCCATTTAAAAAAATGTTTATTAACTATAAAAGTAATTCATGCTCACTGAAAAAAATACTTTGGAATTTAGTTATATATATTAAAAAATTCCTTCTTACTAATCACAGCTGAGTTTGTTTTTGTTTTTCTTATCTCCCATGCTGGAGTTTGAACTCAAGGATTTGCACTTACTTGCTAGGCGGGTGCTGTACCACTTGAGCCCTTTTCGACTTAGTTATTTTTCAGATAGGATCTCATGCTCTTTTCCCCAGGCCAGCTCAGACATTGGTCCTCCAACCTCTGTCTCTCACATAGCTAAGATTATAGGCATGAGCGACCAAGCTCAGCCTATGAGAAGAATGTTGAAGGATCAATAGGAGCTACCCAAACACAAAGGAGATTGTGGGGCAGGTGGAGATGATATGAAAATCAGTGGTTCTGTGAGTGGCTATGAACCAACACACAACCCCATCATCAATCATGAATTAAACTGCAACTTGAGTCAAGATACCCTATGAACCAGGACTGGGTCCTATTTTCCTAAAATCTGGTTTTATTTTTCTGTAGGGCAATATTATGTGGTTTTGGTGTCTTAGAAACACATTGTTTTCTTCCCTAAAGGCAATAAAAAATAAATTATCTATTCATGTGGAGAATATTTGCGACATTTCCATTCCTCCCAGGACAATTGGGCATTCGTGAAATTCAAACAGTGAGACATTTGAAATTGGCGAGATAGATTCAGGAATTGTGGCCTTTGGAACACTGAGTTCATAGGCCCTTACTTGGGAATGAAGCCAGCCCTTGAACTTGAATTAAATTAAAGAGTAAATATGCTAAACTGATTTACCGACAATCACAGCTCATCATGCAGCTCATTAACTTCCTTCCCTAAGCAGAGCCCATACAACTGGCTCCTTGCACTGGCAGGAAAATGTGGCTCCTCACAGACAGTGACCTAGAACTCCACTGTCCAAGGCACATTTTTTTCTTGCCTCATCTAATGTACAAAATCTGTTATCTTTCACATATCTACCAAAAGCTGAAGGTACAGAGAGATATAATCAATTATAAATGAGCCAGAAAAGGCTGGTCTAAATGTACTTTCCCAGTGTCATCTCAACATACAGGAATGACACTGTTAAGGATGACAGTGGGTAAGAGGCCTATATTTAAAGTCAAATATGGGAAATGAAACACTGTGGTTCTAGGAGCCACCTCGGTTACCACAAGATTTTTTGAGGGTTGTGTTATCATTGTACCACCATCACCCACGACCAGTTAGTCAGACATTCACTTTTCAGATGAAGATACGTAAGTACAAGAACCACCTGGGCACCAATGGCTCATTCCTGTAATTCTGGCTCCTCGGGAAGCTCAGATGGGGAGACGTTCACAAGACCCCATTTCAACCAATAGCTGGGTGCCATGGTGCACATCTGTCATCTCAAGCTACACAGAAGACTGAGATTTAGGGAGACTGATGTTCCAGACCAGGTTTCAGACCTGATTTTTATAATTTCCATGCTGTGAGAACCTGAACAATATTGTGGGTTTTCTTGGGGGGTGGCGGGTTGTGGTACTGGGGATTAAACTCAAAGCCTCATGCTTGCTAGGTAGGTGCTCTGCCACTTGAGCCATACCCAATCCTTTTTTTAGCTTTACTTACTTTTTAAATAGTGTCTTTTGCCCATGGCTGGCTTCATGTCACAATCCTCCTACCTACAACTCCAATGTAGCTGAGATTACAGCTGTGTACCATCATGCTGGTCTTTTAATCTCTTAAATCTTAGTGTTTTCATCTGTAATGTAGGGAAAAGTCAGTTTCTACCTTCTAGGGTTGTAATAAAGGTAAAAGGATTCAATGTTTAATGCAGTGGTCTGGAGGATAGGAAGAATATGTAGAACAAAAGTATTCACTTTATTATTATCCAGACTTATCTGGGTACCTTTTGATTCAAAAGAGGGAGAGAAGAGTCTCCAGAGGTCCTCAATGGAAGAGCCCCAGTTGGTGGGAAGTGTATAGCAGAAAAACTAGAGGAATTTTTGGTTTGGGCAGTACTGGGGATTGAATTCAGGGTCTCGTGCTTGCAAGGCAGGCACTCCAGGCAGACACTCATTTCCACCCCTCTGCATATGAATATAATGTAACGTACTGCCCCGTAAGCTGTTGACTATTAAGGGAGCGTGGTGAGAGAGAATGAGTAAGTAACAAGGGTGGGGTTAATTTGATTAAAGCACAATATGTACAAGTCTGACGTACCAAGGCAAAACCCCTTGAACCAACAATATACACTTAAAAAGGAAACAAAGGGCAAGAGAGTAAAGTAGGTCTTTTCTGGGGGTAGATACCAATGGGAGGGGTGGGCATAAGGAAAGGGTGAATGAAGGCAAATATTTTGTATTCATATATTGAAAATAGAAGACTGAAACCTGTTGAAATTGATTTAAGAAGGTGGGAGGGGATAACGGAGAACAATGGAGGGGGTAAATCTAAGATACATCACTCGCATATGTAAATATCACAATGTATTCCCCTGTACAACTATTATGTGCTAATAAAATAAATAAATCCAGTGGTGAAAGGATCATATGAAGTAGAAATAGGACCATCTCAGACTCACAGGAACCTTCACAACTATCTAATTCAACCCCAGTTTTTACCACTCTACCATATATTTCTTCAAGGTCTCTAGTATGTCTTCCTCTTATTTTTTTAGCTAAAGATGGGTAGAACTGTTCCTGTCTGTTGGAATGCCAGTGAAGTCTTCCAAGTTCTAGGGTTTGAAGATTAAGCTAACCAGAAAAAATATTAGAATCCTAAGTGGGTGGAAATTGAAGAAAATATTGATTTATTATTATCAATATAATAACTATTAATTACTAATTAATTAATTAAATAGAAATAAGAACACAGAGGGATGGAATAATAAACATGGGTTGGTGTTCAGTAAATATTCAGCAATTGGGAAGGAAATTGATGATTATAATTTGTTACCAAAAAAAGTGTTTTGGAAAAAAGTGATTGTCATCTTATCTTTGTAAGTAATGTGATATACATAGCAACTTCTGATTTTGACAAGTATAATTTCCCTACAGTGGATTTATTATTTTAGCATATTTATGTGGCTATGATTCCAGGCATTCATGTGAATAGTTAGAATCAAATGCTGCCTAAAATATTATAAAACTAAAGGAATTTCACACTGTGCATAGCGGCTCCCAGCACTTCGAAGGCTGAAGCTGGAGGAGCCTGGGTTGCCTAGAGAGAACCTGTCTCCAAAAAATAAGGGCTTGGTGTAGCTCATGGTAGAGCACTTGCCTAATATGCCCTGGGTTCTATATCCAAGAGTTCAAGAAAAAAAAAGAAACTTTAATATTAACCTGAAACAATCGGTACCATTTATGTCCTGTGTTAGTCTAAGTAGGCAAAAATGAGCGACTAATCAGCTGGGTTAGCATTTACAGGTGTGTTAAGACATCTACAAATTTAGAAGAAAAGTTTGGAGCAATATCAGTTATACTTATGGTTCCGTAGCATATTATGTATAAATCTGTGTTACAGGAAGGTCTAGAAAAATACCAACCAAACTGTTAGGACTTGAGGAAAGAGAACAAAATGATGCCAAATTTATTTGCTCTTCTATGTTGTAAGCAGTTTTTACAATGACTATGTCTTGGTATTATCATGCATGATACACAGACTGTAATTTTAAGAACTAAAATGGTTGCACATGCATTCTTACTCACCACTTCTCTCTTTAGGAAATTCCCTGTCAGATGGGACAGTTCACTGACTAACTTTGTCCACAGGCTGCTAGTAGAATGACAGCTCTGATGTGAAAGGGTACAAGTAAGACAGGAAAGGTGGAAATGCTCATTTATTAACCCTATTAATCTTGTATTGGCAAAGCAATGGAAAAGAAATTTTGGTTTGCTGCATTCTTGGGTAGAGCAAGTTTAAGCAACCAAATTTATACAGTTTCTACTGAGTATAATCAGATTCTGCTTCAAAACTCCTATCACCAGTGTTAAGATGATCCTTAAGACCTTTCTTAGGTTTTTGAGGCAGGGTCTCATAGGCCAGGCTGAACTGGAGCTCACTCTGTCACCCAGCCTGGCCTCCATCTCACAATCCTCCCACCTCCACTTCCCAAGTGCACCACCATACCTAACTATCCTCAAGATAGTTTTTTGGAAGTGGTACGAGAGCTTGAACTCAGGGCCTTGCACTGAGTAGGCTAACACTCCACCACTTAAAACCATACACCCAGTCCTTTTGCTTTTAATTTGCTTATCAAATAGGGTCTCAGTTTTTTTGCTCAGGCTGGCCTTGAACCATGATCCTCCTACCTCTGCCTTCTGCATAGTCGAGATTACAGGTATGCACCACACCAGCCTATCCTTAAGAACTTAATGAGGCGTTAAGAAAAACTTACAACATAAATTGTCAACAAAATTCTTCTTTGATTCGGGTTCCTTCCTGCAGGAACTCTGCACTGTGTGTATTCTAGAGCCCCAAACAGTTAACCATAAAAGTTAATATTTCTTGATACCTTGACTGAAGCATTTTCACAGTTCAATGAGTCATATTATCATTAGACTGTATTTTAGCAATGGAGAAACCAAGGCAAAATTTTTGTTTATTTATTTTAATGTTTTGGCAGTTTGGAATTTGAACTCAGGGTGTTGAGCTTGCTAGACAGGTGCTCTGCCACTTGAGCCATGCTTCCGCTCCTTTTTCACTTTAGTTGTTTTTCAGATAGGGTCTTAATTTTTGCCTGAGACTAATCTTGAGCCATTATCCTACTTGTGCATCCTTTGTAACCAGGACTAAAGGCATGTACCAGCTTGTTTTTTGATATGGAGTCTTGCTAACTTTTTGTTCATGCTGGTCTCAAACTGTGATCATCCCAATCTCTGCCTCCTAAGTATCTGGGATAACAGCTGTGAACCACTGTGCCTGACCCCCAAGGTGATAATTTTAAATAAAGTATAAATAAATCCCCATGCTTATACAGAGAAGAATCAGGATTTATTTGGGGGCAGTCTGAATAGAGAACCTGGTTCTTTCCACAAGAGTTAAGACTGTCTTAACTATTAAAAGCACTAGAGCTCAAAGTTGCTCACTTCTTAATCTGTAGTGGAGTTTTCAATCCTTGTTCTTACCAGCACTTGACTTTAATAAATCCATTTTGTTTATCTACATGTCCTCACTATTTCTCTCTTTATGGCATTTGTTACAAAACCAACAGTTTTTAAAAAAAAGAGCAATGAAGAAGAGCTGACCTAGCCAGGCATGGTGGTTCACTTCTGTAATCCCAGCTACTCAGAAGGCAGAGATAGTAGGATTGAGAGTTCAAGTCTTAGGGCATGGCTTAAGAAGTAAAGCACTGATCCAGCACGTGCAAGGCACTGGGTTCAATCCCCAGTATAAGAAAGAGAAAGAAAGAAGAGAAAGAGAGAGAAGGAAGGAAGGAAAGAAAGAAGTAAAGTGCTCACCACTAATCTAGATGCTTAGCCCAATGACTTGCCCCTAGCGTAAATGAGAAGTCACGACACTAGGCTTCCAGTCCCAATCTGACATGTGACCTTGACCATTCTCTGCCTTTACTTTCTCAATGTATTAAATGACAGGTTTGGACTAGATCATTCCTGAGGTCACTTTCAGCTCTATAATTAGATAATCTACACTTCTAAGTGACAAGAGACTAAAGACACTTGTGCACACTTCAGTTTAGGACGTTGGACTCTCCTTATGGCATTGTTGACTTGGTTACAGCTAGAGGCTGACATGTCTCTAGTGTGGAGGTTACGTTGCCACGGCTGCATATGAATTAGTCCATGGGGCTTATTAAATCCAGCCCTGGAATCTCAAGGTTCTGGGTTCCCTTCAGAGTTCACACGGGCTACACATCCTAATTTTGAAACCTGACCTTCCCCAACTGAGCAAAGCCTTCTGGATTGCAAAGTCACCTGTGGCTCCACACAGAGTCCCCAAATATCACTTAAGCCTCTGTATCACTCTCTAAAAGCCCAGCTCTAAATAAATCTTATCGGATGTTTGGTTTAAGGTGAACTCAAGCAAACCGATGATTGAAAATCTGGTTCCCGGTGCCCAGTACCAGGTTGTGATATATCTAAGAAAAGGCCCTTTGATTGGGCCACCTTCAGATCCTGTGACATTTGCCATTGGTAAGTTGCCAGCCACAAGAATAATGACCTATGTTTATCAGGAGTACTTGTTGAAAGGGTGCAACCCGGGAGATCATTGTCATCCTATATGGAAGGGTTATTCTAGTTCACTCGATATTTCACCTTCAGGGTACAGTGGTTTTTCAGTGTCCTGAGGAGATTACTGCTAGGACCACCACCCTCTCTCAGCACTCCCCATCCATGGGTACCACAATCCAGGGATGGTCTGGTTCCTTAATATAAAATAGGTAGTATGTGCACATAATCTACACACGCCCTCCCATATATCTTCATCCGTTGGTAGAATAATTATTTATAATACCCAATTCAATGCCACTGCTATGTAAATGGTTGTTCTACTTTGTTGTTTAGGGAATAATAACATGAAAAATCTGTACATGTTCAATACAGATACAATTTTGGGAATGAACAGGGAATAGTCTCATCCATGGCTCACTGAAGTCACAACTGTTGAATCCGTTAATACTGTAATAAGTAACTAGCATTGATATTTGGAGGACAGTCACAGCATTTGCTACTTGGATAAACACTTTAGTTTTCAATGATGGTATAAGAAGAGTAAAATCCCTGATTATTATTTTATAAGATCCCAACTTGTATACTTTAGATCCATCTGTGCCAAGGATATCAAGGTATTTCATACAATCCTGGTTACAAGGTTCCTAAAACGTTTGCTTGCTTGAGTGTATTTGTTATATCAGTCAGTTAATACTAATAAGCTTGAAGCCATTGCTGATATTAAACATTCCTTCTTGGCTTTCTTTCCTTACTATCCTCCCCTCTTCTCTTTAGTTCCTACTGGAATAAAAGATTTGATGCTCTATCCCTTGGGGCCGACTGCAGTGGTCCTGAGTTGGACCAGACCTTACTTAGGAGTTTTCAGGAAATACGTGGTTGAAATGTTTTACTTCAATCCTGTGACAATGACCTCAGAGTGGACAACCTACTATGAAATAGCAGCTACCGTCTCCCTGACTGCTTCAGTGGTAATCTTCCCTTCACCCACTGTCACCCTTCCCACATACACTGACATGCCTGTGTCATGAAGTTTGTAGGAAATGTTATCTGTAAACCAGATCACTTCCTAATACACATGGGTGTTTCCTACATTCAAGGATTTTTTGGTTGTTTTTTGGGTTTTGGGTGTTTGGGTTTCTGTTTTTATATTTGAGAGGGAGAGAGAGAGAGAATTGTGTGAAACTAGCTTTCACCCCTAATTGAATTTGTATTTCTTAATAATTTTTCTAATGAGTTTGCTCAAAGCAGAGTTGAATTGTCAGTGCTTATTGTTCCTCTCTGCACCTGAAGAGGAAAACCCAACAGGTTTTCCTTTGATGGTTAGTTCATCTTGTCAATCTCTAGAGCTGACTTATCTGGGCATCTTTAAAGCAGTTAAATACCACCTGTGCTGCCAACACATTGCAGATAGTTTTCAAAACACAGGATAATTGCCCTGAGACTGGAATTATTTATTTTTTTATTTATTGTTTCTTTTTAGGAATAATTTTTAAAGTGCAGGTTATGATGGGTTATGTGTGAAATCATAATTACTCATTGACAGCTCTGGTAATGACCACTCAACCAGACTCTTGCTTATTGTCAATGTTGGAACAGTAGACAGTTGTGAGAAGTCCCTTTTTTTAGAAGTAGGCGATGGATTTGTACAGTCACTTACAAATGAGTGCTATTTCATTCTGCAATATACATTAGGAAAATGCAAAATGGTACTAGTACTCAAAGTATTTTGTTCTATACCTCTGAATCATCTTTTTAAAATTATTTCTTTACTTCATTTTATTTATGACTCACTTCATTTCAAAAAGAATTTGAAATGGAGCAAAACATAAATAAAAATATTCACTAAATTTTTTCATGACCTATTGGAAGTAAATCTATTTCAAAAGCATTACTTTCCCCTCAGTCTTTTATCTCCTTTTTTCATCCTCCTTTAGAGAATAGCTAATTTGTTACCAGCATGGTATTACAACTTTCGAGTGACCATGGTGACATGGGGAGATCCAGAATTGAGCTGCTGTGACAGTTCCACCATCAGCTTCATAACAGGTGAGTGGTGCATGGGAAATAGTTCCAAAAGGGAGGATGTAATTCTGAGGGCCCACACTTCCAGGAAGTGCCAGTCATTCACTGGGCATTGATTGACCATCCATATCATAGAGAACCATATACTTGATTCTGGTCACTCACTGTATGTTTAGTTGATGACATTTAAAATTTAAAAGTATTATTTTGTATTCTGAGTCACTGCCCTTGGCTGGTGCTCCTCAGTTGGGATTAAGCAGAATAGAGATGGGGCCTGCCAAGCCCTTAGACTCACACTGAGCACTCAATTATTTTACCCATTTGGTGGTGATGTTTGTTAAAGGACCTGCATTTCTTTACTAATTAGGCCATTTCTAAAGTCGCACACTGACTGTAGGAGGGCCATTGCAGGAGTTATGAAGAAAAGGCCTTGGAGACAGATAGACCTGTATTTGAATCATGGCTCTGCCTCATATCATTATCACCTGGAGCAAGTTGACTTTTCTAAGCCTCAATTTTTTTCCATATCTAAGATGGGGAAAATAATAGTATCAATTATCCATTATTATTTTCTATTATGACTTCTCTATTAAAGAAGTTATTTAGCAAAATGTATTAGTCTTACACTTACCAAAAGAAGAAGTGCAGCCAGGCACCCAAGATTCACACCTATAATCAAAGCTACTTGTGAGGCTCCGGTTGGGAGAATGGCAGCTCCAGGTCAGCCCAGGCAAACAGTTCATGAGTCTCCATCTCAATGGAAAAAAGCTGAGCGTGGTGGTATATACCTGTTATCCCAGTGACAGTGGGAAATTTAAAATAGAAGGATTATAATCTAGGCCCACCTGGGTAAAAAGTGAGACCCTATCTCCAAAATAAAGTTAAAAAGTGCTAGGAGGTGTGGCTCAAGCTTTAGAGCACCTGCCTAGCAAGTATGGAACCCTGAGTTCAAAAACAAACAAGCAAAAAAAAAAAAAAAACCCAAAAAACCCAAGATGTACAAATGACCAATAAGTCCATCTGCCAGAGAAATGCAGATTAAAATGACACTGAGAGTCCATCTCACTCCAGTCAAAGTCTATTACCAAGAAAACAAATAACAGCAAATGGCAGTGAGAATGCAGGGAAAAAGAACTTTATTCACTGTTGGTGGAAATGTAAATTAGTGCAGCCACTATGGAAATCAGGTTCCTTTAAAAATATAACTACCATACTATTCTGCTATCCACTGCTGGGAATCTGCCCAAAGGAATGTAACTCATACAATAGACACCTGCACACCCATCTTTATAGTAGCACTATTCACAATAGCCAACTCATGGAATCTGCCTCCGTGCCCATCAATGGATGAATGGATAAAGAAAATGTGGCCTTGGGCTGGGAGTGTGCCTCAAGTGGTAGAAAGCCTGCATAGCAAGCACAAGGCCCAGCGTTCAAACCCTAGCACAAAAAAAAGAAAAGAAAATGCGACCTGCATACACAATGAAGTATCATTCAGCCATAAAGGAAAACAGAATTTTTTTTTTCAGGAAAATGGATGGAACTGGAGATCATCATGTTAAGTGAAATAAGCCAGACTTAGAAAGACAAGTATCACTTGCTTTTTCTTATATGCAGAATCCAGATTTTTTTAAAAAGACGTGAAGGTAGAAGTGGACCATCCGGAAAAAGGAAGGGCCAGTGAGAGGGGGAGAGGACAAGAAAGGGTAATGTGGGGTGAATATGATCAAAATATATCGTTATATAAGTATATGAAAATGTCATTATGAAACCCACTGCTTTGTACAATCAATTTACACAAATAAAAAGTTTAAACTATTAGTCTTAGAGACTAAAAGCCTTGGATAAAGTAGTCATGTTATCAACAGTCAGAGAAGGCAGTGAAAAATGGAAATCCACCTCCCCCTGCAAAAAAAAAAACCAACAACCATTGTTTTTTGAACTAAAATTCTTCAAGAACTTTTCTTTGGACAATATGGCCTTCCTTAGAGTGGCACTGAGAAAACAGAAGAGAATAATATTGTTTAGATGACAAATAATTTTCGCAAAATTCCTTCCTCACTGAACATCTAGCCTTACTCTGCTGAAACTTATCAATGAAACAAATGAACCAAAACAATCAGACATGAAATTTTACACAATTAATGCTCATGGCATGCCACTTCTCCTTACTAACCAATAACCAGTGTCTCTGTTCCAGATGTTAAGGGTAAAATCAGAATAGGTAAGTGAAAGAATATCAAAAAAAAAAAATCAATCATTTAATATGAACTAGTTTAAGCTGTTGGCTGTATTAAGAATCACATATTTAAATTCTTCCAGTTGAATTTATTGTTATTAGCTTTTTCTTCTTACACAGGACAACTATCTGAAAAAGACCTAACATCTGAACCTGAGTCTGCTTGTGTCTAGCTGTAGAACTTTAAGCAAATTATCTTGCAGGGCTTTTTCTTTGTTGGCAGTACTGGGGTTTGAACTCAGGGCCTTGCTAGGCAAGTGCTGTACCACTTAAGCCACACCTCCAGCCCTTTTTTGCTTTAATTATTTTTCAGGTAGGGTCTCCTGCTTTTTGCCCAGGGTCAGCCTCAGACCTTGATCTTTCTACTCATGCTTCCCTTATAGTTGCAGTTACAGATGTGCACCACCATGCCCAAATTGTCTTGAAGCTTTTCCCCTGGGCTGGCCTCAAACTGGCCTCCAGACCTCTACCTTCCAGGTAGCTGGGATCACAGGCCTGCACCACCACACCTAGTCCTTGATCAAATTACTTTAATGATTCTGAGCTTCTATTTTCTTATCAGCAGAACTCTCCAAAATGCTACCTGACAACCAGCTAATGGAGCAAAATTTGGTGTCTTGAGTCTATAGTGTCTCGGAAGGGGACGTCAGTAATAAAGTATTTGTAGGAATCTGTATTCTGACCACAAGAGTTCAAAGTGTGCCTTTTAAAGTGGGGCAGTGATGAGAGGGAGATGTAACAAGTCTGGATAAATAATCTGTGGTTAATGAATGAGTTACTTGCCTTGGTGAACAGTTTGTTGTCCCCGATAAATTGACTTTGGGAATTTCTTGCCTTTTCCTGACAAATGACTTAGGTAAGCTGACACAAAAGGTCTGCAGTTTTATCAAAGCATGTAGACAGAGTCAGTGTCAATTGTCACATCCAAAAAATGGGTATAAAAATGCCTCACAGCATAGTGTCAGAATTACACAATATAATATAAATTACTACTTTATAATGCCAGTTGAAATTCTACCTTTTTTTGTCTTTCTTGCATCATTTCAAATAAAGATTTTATTTAAAACAAGTGAGCTTCTCTTGCTTTGCTTTCCTATACTTTGAATTTAAATACAAATTGGCAAACTGTATGGTAGAAATAGGATGGAGTGTTTCAATTAAATGTGATTTATTAGGACCTCAACTCTCCTTTCTTTGTTAGACAACTTTGTCTGCAAGCCAAGTTCATAGTAATTATGCTAATCTGACAAATAATGATTAATAAACAAATAGTGACATCTTGTGGCCTTTTAGCAATGTGTTAGATTTTAAAGCAGCAGATTTTGGAGTATCAAAATGGGTACTAGGTACCCATGAGTACCTAGTACTCATGGGTGGCAGGTATAACTTCTGAGTTTGTAATTTTAAAATTATTTCTTATCCTCAGTAAAGTTAGAACATGAGAAGAAAACCTTTGAAGGAATATATGTATTTGTATAAAATGAAGTACCTTGGAATATATTAAAAGACTATAGAGAAGTCACAGCTATTTTTCTTCATCAGAATATTCTGAAATATGCCAGGTGCTGGTGGTTCACACCTGTAATCCTAGCTACTTGGGAGGCTGAGATGGAAAGACCACAGTTCCAGGCCAGTCTGTGCAAAAAGTTGGCGAGACTCCATCTCAACCAATAATCAGGTGTGATGGTGTGCAACTGTCATCCCAGCGATGGTGGGAAGCATAAAATAGAAGGATCACATTCCAGACCGGCTTGGGCAAAAAGTGAGATCCTATTCCAAAATAACTAGAACAAAAAAGGCTGGCTCAATGAGTAGAGTGCCTGCCTTGCAAGCATGAAGCCCTGAGTTCAAATTCCAACACCACCAGAAAAAGAAGAGACATAGAGAAAGAGAGAAAATGGTAGAATATTGTGTTCATATTTGTGTTAGTCAGTTTCCCATCACTGTGACAAAATATCTGAGATAATCAACTGAGAAGAAGTCAAGATTTACTTTGGCTCATGGTTTCAGAGACTTAAGTCCATAGCAAGAGAGAACATGGTGGCAGGATGCACACAGCAGAGCAAAGCTGCCTACCTGATGATGACTGGGAAGTAGAGAGAGAAAAGGGCGGGGACAGTGCTCACTCCAGAGGCAACACCTCCAATCAAACCCTGTCCCTCACCTTTCCATCCCTTCCCATAGCACCCTCAGCTGGGGAGCAGACCCTCACACCTGGGCTTTAGGGGGCATTTAAGATCCAAACCATAACAATATCTTTGGTACTTCAATATTGTGGTATTAAATATGCTACAAATGCTACTCCTATTTTACATGAGACAGAAACCTACTTTTTAGTTCAGTTTCATCAGGGAATAATCACTTTTGAATGCATGATCAGTCGTGTTTATTGTGACTATTGGCATCTCATTAAAGAAAACCATTCTTTAGGATTTATACAAATTTCCCACTAAATATTTTAGTTGGTTTTGTGCTGTGTCTCAGAATAGATCATTGTATTGTTTTAAAAACCAATCTACATGTGGAACTTAAATTATGTTTTCACTTCTTAAGATTTTGAAGATTATACATGACTTTTCAAAATATGCTTTCAGGAGTCTTATACTGTGAGGCTAGTAATAACTCCTCAATTAACATTTTTTAAGATTTCAGTGTGTTGGAATATAAAATAAAGTACAATAAGCTTGGAGTTAGAATTTGGCTTTGTGAGGTGATAACAAAATCTGTTCCTTCTGTCCTTTGTGTTTTGTTTTAGCAACATTTGTGAAGAGCCTAGTCTTCTATGAAGGATAGGCTAGACATACAATGATGTTGCTTGGTTATCTTATGAAAATAACATGGCTTCTGTTCTATTTGGAGTACTGCATCTTCTATCTTTACTCTTTCTCTCCACCTTCTTTATTCCCATAACCATCTTCATTGCCCCCAAGTGAAAGAGATTTCATATTTCAGGACCCACGTCTTCCAGTAGTGCTTGGGTAATAACCTCACCAATGCTTATTAGGATTAATATTAATTAGTATTAACTGATTAATGTAACAAGTGTGACTCAAACAAGCAAACATTTTAGGAATCTTGTAACCGTGATTTGTATGAAAGACCTTGATATCTTCGGCACAGATGGGTCTGAGGTACACAAGTTGAGTTCCTATAAAATAAGTGCCCAGCCTGTACCCCAAGCTCCACTCCACTAATTCCCAGGGCCATCATTGGTATGAATTATAATTCCCTAAATCAACGCTGTTTGGGATTACATGTTTTCCTGATAAGCACTTTAATTACTAGTCTCTTATTCCGAATCGTGCCTCTTCCTTTCCTTGTAGCCCCAGTGGCTCCAGAAATCACTTCCGTGGAATATTTCAACAGTCTGTTGTACATCAGCTGGACATATGGGGATGACACAACTGACCTGTCCCATTCCAGAATGCTGCACTGGATGGTTGTCGCAGAAGGAAGGAAGAAAATTAAAAAGAGCGTATGTTTCTTTGAATTCCAGTATTAGGCATCTGAACATTTACTGCGTGAACTACTGAAAATCATTAGATGTTCACAAAAGTACTAAAGAAATGTTTACCAGTTGCCACTCTTTTTGGCTCTGGAGATAGAATGGCAACCCCAAATTAAATTGCTCTTTTCATAGAGCTTACCTTTTAATATTTAACAAGTGAGCTATATTCACTTATAATTAAAGCTTTGATTTGAGCTTTTTTCTTTAGGACGTTAAACATTTTCAAGAGCACTGCAGCTAACACATTTCAATATTTTTCTTCATATATCATCAACACCTAATTACTTGGGTACATCAGGTATACAAATTTCTTTTCTTCTACTTTATTAAGCTTTTTAGTGTTGTATCAATTAGTGGATAAGGTAAACACAATAAAAGCAAACAAAAATAGTGGATCAAGTAAAGTAGAAGTATGCGTCTCTTTCATGAGGGTCTCCATATTTGTTCTGTTTTGTTGCTCTGTAGTAAGTGGAGCCCTCATCTGCATAGGGGAAGCTGTGCCTTCACCACCTCCATACCCACCCTATAGGGAGAGGAAAAGAGAGAAGGAGACCCAGCACTTACAGGATGTAAGCCCGCTTGGCTTCCACTTAGAATCCGCTCATCAGAATTAGGTCACAATTTCCCCTCCAGCTGTAGAGGAGAATGGAAATACTGCCTTTATGTAGGAGCCATGTGGATGTACACATGGCTAGGTTTCTTCTGAGCTTCTCAGAATGTAGATATCAGTAACAATCCAGCAATTGCCTTTTTAAAACTCGATGTGAATATGTAGGAAAATATCAGAGTAATCATTTAAAATTAAGGGATGGATTGCAAAAATTGTTCAACCTGATATGTATCATTCGTTTTAAGGCATTTTGCCTTTATCCAAGTCAAATATTTTATATAATTTTTGGAGGCTATAACTTATCCTTAAAATATCCTTAATATATTGTAGGCTGCAACATAGAACAGAAAGGGAATGTCTACGGTAGCCTGTCATGTGCGGGACGGGTGCTGGCTCAGTCATTAGAAATTGAAGTCCTTCATTTTCATGGTCTCACAGGTGACACGCAATGTCATGACTGCAATTCTCAGCTTGCCTCCTGGGGACATCTACAACCTCTCAGTCACTGCTTGCACTGAAAGAGGAAGTAACACCTCCCTGCTCCACCTCGTCAAGCTAGGTAAGAGGCGTGCACAGGTAAAGGTGTGGAAATGGTCCTACTGGAAGAATTAGCTTTGCATCACTTGATTGAACATGGGCTCCTTGACTCAATGAAATAACAGAAAAACAACCAATTCTTAATAAAATAGACATTTATACTAACAAGAATAGTATGTTCAACTCAGTATAAATCTTTGGGTGGAATATATTCTGTGCTGGAGGACAACTCATCATTCTTGGAATGGTTAAAGGAACCAAGTAGTGTTAGGATTTTAAAGATGGGAAGATCTCAACAGTGTTCTTAACCCTATCAGACATGTTCCCTTCTCAAATAAATACTATCTAATGTCCTCTTTATCAACTTAAGTAGAAATTCACAGATAAAATAACCCACATGTTGATTTAAAAATGTGATATAATTTCAAAATTCTAATGTAAAATTAAGATAGAGAAAAAATAATGTATAACAAAATAGTACAGATGTGTTCAGACACAACTACTCTGAAAAACATAATGGAATTTGCTGGAGCCTACATATAACTAACATGAACAAGGTCAGGTTTACAAGAAGTAAAATATCAGTAGCCCTTCATTCAAGAAATATAAAAATAAATTAAAAGAGTGAGCATTAAGATAAATTAATTAACTAATAATAGATAACTGAGCAAGCATAGATTACAGGTATACCCTAGAATAAAACTATAGTTAGGATAAAAAATAAGAAAGTATAGCTATTTGCATATGATGAGACAAAGAAGTAAATGACTTTACTTCATTCCAAGGAAAATAATAAGCCACAGATAAGGAAAAATGAGGGACATGTGATATTTGTACAAATGAGATGGAAATTGCTATGTAGGGTTATATCTAAATAATTCCTTATATTATGACAGAAAACTTGGAAGTGACACTAGGTATTACAATATATATCTTCTAGAATGAAATAGTGGTTACTAGAGTCTAAGAAGGTAGGAGGGAGGGAGGCAGAGGAAGGCTAGATAATGGGTAGCAAGATACAGTCAGATAGGAAGAATCAATTCTAGGGTGACTGTGGTTTACAATAACCTATTATATTTGGTGAATAACTAGAAGAGAAGTGCTTTAAGTTTCCAAATATAAAGAAATGATAGGGAACTGTAAATGACTTGAGCATTACATATTACATACAGGTGTTAACACATAACACTGTAGCCCAAAAGGATCTGCAACACAATAATAATGATAGCAAAACTCATCTTCAGCGTTTAAAAATCTACCACGCATTAAGGTATATATTTCTGATACTAGAGGGAACTTTGAACAGAGTATCATAATTGGTCACAGGCAATGGAGGATTGGCAAAAGGTGTGTTGTACACCTCTTGGGACAGTGGCATTGTAAGAGTAGCAAGTCAAGAGTAAATGCATAATATCAAGATGAAGTCTTTACAACAGAGACCTCTTGTAATTGTCTATCTCAAAATTTTAAATGCGTGGAATGGAAATATAAAAAAATTTCTGAATAGTTAATGCAACTTACTGACAACACTGTCTCTATAGCACATGTGCATCGATCTATTCATAAGAGTCTCAAGTCATCAGTGGCACTCCACATGTTCATCCGTGTAGCTATGTGTAGATTTTCCCTGACATGTGCTATTAGTACTATAAATAGCTTGCTGTCACTAAGGCATTTCTAGAAAATGCTTAGAAAACCTCAACCAAAATAAAACCAAACTTTTCTTCACTTTACCCAATAGGTACATATCTCTTCAACTCAGTGCATAAGACACACTGAGTTCTTTCTTTCCTTCTTTCTTTCTTTATTGTGGTACTGGGATTTGAACTCATGGCCTTTACTTGTTAGATAAACAACCTACCACTTGAGCCATGCCCCCTAACCTTTTTAAACTTTAGTTTGCTTTGGATAGGGTCTCATCATTTTGCCCAGGGCCAGTTTTAGACGTGATCTAACCTGCACCTCCTGGGATTACAGGTGTGTACCACAATGGCCAGCTTGTTTTTTGAGATAATGTCTAGCTGACTTTTTGCCTGGGTTGGCCTCAAACTGTGATCCTCCTATCTCTGCCTCCTGAGTAGTTGATACTACAGGTGTGTTCCATGACACCTGGCCCTTAAGTCCTTTGACTCATATTTGCCATGGCAAAAAATAAATTATTGTACAGAAATTCTTTAAAACTATATGAGTACTTGGAAATCCATGATATATTGAATATATTCTATGGACAGAAGAAGTAAATTATTGAGTACTTTTTTAAAAAAAATCATATCCATCTCAATACTCATTATTTACCTGATTCCTGTAGAAAACTTCCACTGTTATTCCATAGTAAAGTACATGCAATGTATATTTATGATGCATTTATTTTTGTATGATGTTTGAAAGCCATACAGGACATGAGATGTAGGGTGAGTTTTATTATTTGAAACGCCCTTGATCATTGTAAGACAGTGAGCGATTGCCTGACTCTTCTGCAAATTTCCAAACACCCTCCAGAGGGCAGCTCGGGTCCTGTGAGAATCAAGGGCAGGATTCAGTCTTTCATGCAGGACAGATAACCTGATGTCTACTGGTCTGCACTTGAATTCTAGGAATATAGAGAGCACCGGCTCCCAACATTGTGTGATCTTTTTATTAAGAAAATAGTTACCTCCCTGTCAATTCAAACCATTATCTCTAATTTTGTCTTCCTTGGATGGAAAAGTCAATTCAAACCTGATTTCCAGGTAACTGGAGTTACTTGAAGATTATGTTCTTGGTCCCTGTGTCTTCCTTCCTCTGTGCATTAGCTCTGATAATAGTGCTAAGTTCTTGGATGGCTTATCCAACTCACTGGGTTATTCAGGCTCCTTTACCAGACAAAATAAATTAGTGAGAGCCCATCACAAGGGACAAGCCAAATGGTGTATGTCTGTAATCTCAGCTGTGAGGGAGGCACAAGTAGAAGGATCACAGTCCAAGGCCAACTCAGGGAAAAAGCATAAGAACCTATCTGAGAAATAACTAAAGGTAAAAGAGCTAGAAGAGTAGCTTAAGTGGTAGAGCCCTTGGCTAGCAAATGCAACACCCTGGGTTCAAAGTCAGTACTGCCAAAAATTAAAAATGAAAATGCAGAGAAGTATCATTTTAAGTAGCATTTATCTTGTCAAAGTAGCTTTTCAATGGGCTTATCAATTGCTCTGTGGTCATTTTTATACAATATTATGGATGAATTATGGAGTCTCAGGACTATGGGCTAAAGCTATGAACTGGTCTACTTATGCCTTCATAGGAGTATGAATTAAACACCATGATGGCTTCTCAAACATCATGAGGCTTTGAACCTCCATATTTCTGTGATAGACAGAACTATATAAATCAAGTGAGAAAGGACATTGAAACTTTTCAAGATGGAAAAGTAGCTTCCAAGAGAAATTATTTCTACTGAATCATAGCCTTTAGAATCAATAGGCTTTTTCTTATTGGTATCTTAATATCAGATGAAATAGTCTCTATCTTGTCCTTGTCTCAAAGCAAGACAATCTATACATACTATTCCTATCATTTTCCTGACAACTAAATAATCAATTTTTTTTTGCTTTGTGAAAAAGTCTGCTTTCTATTAATCTTGTTACTGTGTGTTATAAGCTCCTTCATTTTCCTTGCCTCTTAACTGAATTGAAGCAACAGAACTCAAAGTTGAAAATAGTATTCTAGTTAATATTTAACCAAAACAAGTTTCACCTTCTAAAGGAGTGAAGTAACTAACATTTTACTTTCATAAGAACTGAATTAAAATTAATTATTTTCACAAAACTTTCACTCCAGTCTTTTTATCTTTCTTTCACAGCATTCAAGAAGTCATATTAATTCTAGTTTACAGGAAAAATACAGCTATGGCATACACATTTTTCAGGACTTGTTCAAATCAGAATGGTCTTGTTAAAGCTCAGACCAAAACAGTTGGGGTAACTTGCAGTTAAGCTTCTCTGTGACAGAGGCCTCCTTACAATGGCTCTGTCTTCTATCATGGAGGTCAAGATCTACCAGCATGGAGAGAAACCAAACTACCAATGATTCCTGTATAATAAAAGTTAACTCAAGATAGCACGGACAAAGGTAGAGAGCCTTTTTTTTTTTCCAAAACAGTTGCCAAGAATTTTCGATTGTTATGTCAACAATAGACATCTATAAGGATACATATATCAGTAGTGGTCCTGCTCACAGTGTGTTGAACCAATCAATCCATTAGCAGGGTTAATGGAGCTAATGGTGGTATGTGATGATAGAGCTCTTTGATAGTTGATACAAATGTCAATCAAATCTGTACCTAAGATTTATTTTACAAGAACTCATTGGTTTGCATAGGACTATGGTTTTCACTAGTAACCAGTCACATCTTCTAGTCTTAGGTAATCTACCAGGAATTCTGGGCCACCTTTAAGAAGAGAATCAGTTTTCCAACCTTAAAGAAAAGAAACAAGAATGAGATATATTGGTCATGTCAAAAAATAGCTCTGTGGTGAAATCAGGTTTTTAGGCCCCAGGCCCAGACTCCTGGAGTTCCATATGTCAGGTCCAGTCATTCACCCCAACACATCAAATTAAGAGATAAGTAATGGTGAAGGGCAGAGGAATGAGATTTATTTTGTGTTATGGGCACACCACAGGAAGGGGCAAAGTCAGCACTTAATCCCTTCTCCAGAATACAGATATGAGCTTTAGGTTTGAATAGAGGAAGAATTGGCATAGGGTGGCAGAGGTATGCATAGCTAAACCATCCTAATCACAGCGTGGCCAAGAGCATCATATCTCAGTTCTAATTCTGCAAGGAGTTTCCAGAGAGGTTCTTATTGCTTTCATAACTTGTAGGGAGCAATCTGGTTCCCATAAGATAATTAATCCTGCTCAGGGTGCAGCCTCATTTAGAGGTAGTCTGTCCTATGAGGTCTGCTGTTCCTTTCTTTGTCCTTTCAGTCCTGTTTTCCTGGATTACAAGGTGAAAAGCTCAGAGCAAAGACAGATACAAAATGGAGACAC